TTAAGGTGGAAGCTGTGTTACAGAATTTACAAAATCAAATGCTCAGAAGCAAGAGACATCTTGGTCATGACTGTATTAAAAATTAAATGGTGCCAGGTTGTGTTCCCAGATTTCAGAACTGAATCACTCCTCTTAAATTATAGTAGATTCCCTTTTTGACCCAGACCAAGGAGGTGTTTGGTCACTTTTTGACTCAGACCAAGGAGGTATTCTAGCAGACAATATCTTTAAACAGTCTATGATTTAGCCCGGGCCAGGAACAATTCTTCATAAGGAGTTTGCAGACCCTCTTAGGGAGGATAATGATGTTTCATGTAAGTAAATGCAGACCTTTCCATTCCAGTTGGTTTCAGTGACAGGGAAAGTTCCTACATTTATTTTTCTAGTACAGCTGTAGTCTACAGTATTGTTCAAGGAGCACGGTAGAAAAGGCTAGAGGGTTTGGAAATATCTCTCATGCAACTTGCTTATAGTGTGAAACAACATCATCCTTCACATCTCTGTGACAGCTGTTGCTGCTTCCTTCATCTCTATCTCTGTTTATTAAATGGTTCATTGGTAAACTCATGAGAATAAACTACAACATGCATGAAACTCACCTTTTTGGAAGGTACAGCAGAGAAACAGCAGCACATTTCTATGTCTAGGGCGCTGGAGTAGCAAAAAATAAATGTAGTGTGGAGGAGGAAAGGAAGACTGCTCGCAAAGAAATTAGGTATGAGGGCAGGTCACACAGGGCAAGGTTGCTGACTCTAACCATGAGTCAAGGGTCTCATGCCATTTTACACTGCCCAGCTGATACTATTCAAAAAGCCTAAATGTATATGCCAGTCAAGCTACAAACTTTCAGCTCCATTCATCTTTTGCATCAGAAGTACTTGGAGCACAACAGCAGTAAATTAGTGCCAGCTCTCCCACTGAGATAATTCAGAGGATCTTTTCCTGCCCAGCAGGGTCTGATTTTTCATGTAGATTCCATATTGTGATTAACATGGAGGCATTTTCTCATTTAACAGGAGGAAAAAAACCCAAAATACTCTAAAATCTTCAACAAATAGGGCTTTTCTGGAAAGAAACTTGCTTTGTTTCTTCTTCTCTTCTCAGTGAACTATTAATTTAAATGAAAAACTGTGCCTGCAATGGGCAATGATGCTAAGAGATGGATTGATCCACCCTACTTCACCCTCAGATACCTTTTGGGGTACATGTACCTTCTGAGTGAGGCTTGTCAATCACCTTGGTAGTTGGTATTGTCCTTACCTCCCACACCACTGATTAGTGTCACTCATTGAATGAGCAGAGAGGGCGCGGAGGCAGATTCTGCCAGCAGCAAGAAGCTTACTTCAATCAAACTTGGGAAATACAGCCTAAGATTCATGCCATGTAGGTGGAGTGAGGAGGAGAGGAACACATCTTTTCCTTGAAGGACTCATGGCTGCTTCTATTTATTGTAAAAAAATAAACTGTCTAGTTTAAGGAGGAAAAGAGAGAAGGTAGATTGGTTTTTAGGACTACTGGGTGATGCCTTGGTAGTAAAACAGCACAGGGTGAAGAGGTGAGGGATATTCCAGGAAACTGCACTACTTGTGGAGGGTCTCTGTGAAAGCAGGTCGTCGATACCCATCTACCAGAGACAGCTAGATTGTTTTTATGGAATTATTTTTACATGGCAGGAGCCCAAGGGACTCTGCAGTATGGTGAGAGGTAGGGAAGGAAGAAGGAGAGAAGTGGGAGGCTGGTTTTCATGTCTGCATGTTGACAGCCAACATCTTGGAAGCTTGATGGAGAAGTCTTCTGCTAAATGTTGGCCTAAGAAGAGGTGACACGCGGTAGCTAGAAATGGCATGGAGCTGCAAAAAACTGAACTGGAATCTCTCCAAAGCTTGACCATGCCTGGGAATTGGAGCTGTGTACACATCCTGTGAAGGGTTAATGGAGTTGAAAGGGGGGGGTCCTAAATTTTATCTGGTTGCAAATGAAGAACAGGAATTATACCTCAGACTGGGGTGTGACAGAAATATCTGTGTTGCATGGTGGTTATTCAGTGCATTTGGAGGCAGGACTTGTCTGGAGTGGGACAGAGACTTACCTGTATGGCATGGGTTCCACCTTCTGCAAAACTAGGCTGTCAGTATTTCTGAAATAGGTACTATGAGGCTTAGGAATGCTTGCAAAAGGGTCCATGGGAGCCCTAATACCCCAAAGTCAAACAACAGTGAGCCCCCACTGCTTCCACTGATGGCAGTGAGATCTGAGTAAGGGAGGTTTGCAATGGGGTTGAACTGGGCTTTTAAAATAGCCGTATCATTGGAGTGTCATGAGCTTTGAGATCTGTGGGACAGGGAAATTTGGATGTGAGAAAAGAAGCCTTAAGGGGAGAGGACATAAAAGGCAATGGAGGGCTGGGAGAGACCTCTTAAGGGTAGGGACAGATGCTCCTGCAAGTCATTCAGGGGAAAGAGAGCAGCAGCTGCTCATCCCAGCGTTAGTCATCAGCCCCTGGCCAAAGTCTGTCAGGAGCCCCAGCCAGCTTCAACAGCCCTGGCAGAGGTGAGGGGAGCTGCAGGAGCAGGGCTGCCCTGGGCCTGTCCTGCCTACACCCAGACCCACTTCTTCTGACCTCTCATAAAAGCAGCAGATCCTGGACTAACCTGGCACATGGACTTCCACCCCCTTCTTGGGGCACCAGCTACAACCCACTAAGCCACCAGCACCTTTAAAAAATACCTACAGTTAGGGATTACAACACAGTTCGATTCTGCACCCTCTGACACTGCCAACAAAGTCCTGCTTGGGCAGGAGTCCTTTTCAAGGCATGGATGGGGTTCTTCACATGATATTCACACTTTCAGAAACCGATCATTTCAGTGCCAAACAAAAGCCATACAGCTGGATTCCATGCACAAATGACTCTGTCTAGAAATAGATGTCCAATTAAGGGAAAAGATGCTTCCAAAAATCATTTTGTTTCCTACAGTTTAGAAGTTTGCTTTCTTTCTTTCTATTTTTTAAATCAACTTTCCATGTTAATCAGTTTGGGGTTGGTTTATTTTAAACTGAGTTTGTAAATTCCTACACACCAAGCCCCCAATACAGAAAAAACAGAATCTGCTATTTATTTTTGTTTTTTTAATTGCAGAACAGCTATCGCATTTTCCACTCCATCTTTTGTCTCAAAGACTTTCATGCCATTGTAATTCAATAGATCTAAGATCTGTTTTTAAGGGAAGCTGCAGAGCTCAGAAGATCCAACACCAAGCAGGCCCTGTGAGTTTTTAAGTGCTCAAGATAAGTAAAAAGTTTTAAGATTATGTTAGTGCAATGATCTATGTTACACCACTGATGAAGTGTATCCAACAGTCAAACAAATGACCTGTAATGGGGAAAAATGAATCATAGTTCACAGAACAGATTGTTCTGCCCAGCAGAGATCCCTACAGCCTCCTGGAAAATCATTCCTTGGAGCTGGTGAAGACAACAGGACAAATGGAGAAAGGAAGGGGAAGCTGCTTAGAGAAGGCTCATGTCAGGCAGGTGTGATTTCTTGGTCTGTTTTGGTGGCACATCTTTCTTCTAGGCTTATCCACGTTCAAAAGCTCAATCCTGCAAACAGAGTCTCCACAGATTCACCACTCTTTGGTAAATGCTGGGGTTTAATGGAGAGGAGGGTCCCCATCCTTCCCAGTCCTCCAGGAGCTGAAAAGCCTCCTGGAAACAACATGTTTTGCCAGAGTTGTCCAGCTGGTTTGGCACTGGGTTTCATCAGGATTTCCACCCTCTCACATTTCGTTGTCCCTCACCTGCAAACGCCTGAGCCTTTGGTACAGGGCAACCAAAAAATGCAGGAGAGGGCAATGGGGCAGGTGGTGGAGGTGCAAGTGGGTACCAGAGGCTGGAAGGAGGAGAGAGGAGATGGAATTCTCCTACACCACGCTCGATATGGATTTGAGCCACACTGTGTGTCAGCGCGCTGACCCTCTCTTGGTGAGGAGAGGGGCTGGGACGTGTGTGGGAGCAGCAAAGGGATGGGCCGGCGCGCCTTCCCTGCCGGGGCTGTCCAGGGAGCATCCCTCACACTCCAGCACGGCGGGCAGCGGGATCCCACCGCTCTGCACGGCGCCCCAGGCTGTCTGTGGGAAGGGGGTGCAAAAAGCCAGACAGAAAAAAAAAAAAAAAAAAAAAAAAAAAACAACAATAAAAAAAAAAAAAAAAAAAAAAAAAAAAAAAAGAAGGAAAAATCACCAGCCCGCCTCGGCGGGGGCGCGAGGCGCCAGGGCGCCATCTCGTGGCGGCTCCCCCTCAGTGACGGGCCCCGCGCCATGGCTCCATCCGCCCCCGGGGTGTCACCCAAATGCGAATTCCTGCACAAAATGCAGACTTCTGAAGAACTGGATTATTTGGAGGGTGGGGGAGTTGAAACGCCGGGAAAGCGCTTCCCACTATTCCGGCAGCAGTCGTGACCCCGGGCAGCGGGTCGGCGGCTCGCAGCCCTCCCACGGCCGAGCGGCGCACTGCGGCTGCGCGAACACGGGCAGCCCCTCGGGCACGGGGCTCCCCGTGCTCCTGCGGGTCCCGGCGGCACCGCCTTCCCACCGGGCTGGGGAGCAATTTTCCGACAAAACACACTTCAAATCAACAAATGTCGCTTTGTTAAACATCGTGCTTTAACCGCGTGAAGTCCGGTGGGGCGCTGGCGACTAAACGCCTGAGTAACCATTCCTTTGCTGCGTATGCCAGGTGGGAAAATTCTCAGCTGGGAAATTGGATATCGCTAAGGACTTCATCTATGGGCAGCTTGCCTTGGCAGTGTTGCAGGAAGGTTTCCATGACCAATCATGGAAATTCTGGTCAAAGGAAGAGGGAAGGCAAAATAAAAGTCCTTGTGAGCAGCTGTCAGGCAGCTACAGTCCTCTGTGGCTCACCTCAGAGTGCTTGGCTCACGTTCAGAGAAACAACGATGACCGCACAGCTCAGGAAGAGAAGGCAATGAAATGAGTTCTCAAGTTTTATTCCGAGCGTGGTTCTGAAGTGTGGCAGCCGAACTGAAAGCTCTGGTACCTTCGTCTCTGAATTAATTGTTTTTGACCTTCTTAGTCACTGGACTTGATGCAATGAGTCACAGCTGACAGAGTATGACCATTTGCATTTGAACTTTTCCCAGGGAATGGTTTGATGCTGTTTGGCTTGACTGGAAATCTGGCAATCCAACCCATTATATCTACCAAAATGAGGGAAATCTGTTGTGACAGTATCAACCACTACATCTTATGTATAACTAAGTGGTCCTCAGATTACATTAGAAAAATAGATTTGGGGTTTTTTTCTTTAGAAAGTAGTAGAGATAATCTGTATCATCTGAGGTCATTTTTTCTGTTCTTCAACACAGTATGGCTAAAAAATTTCCCTCCATAAACTTCAAGTTAAGCTCACAATGAAGTTAATGTGTCATTTGGGGTTATTTTCTGCAACTGAATCCAGTTTTGCTGCATTGCTCATCTCTTTTCTCTGTTTTGTAAGCCAAGCCACCTCCTATCTTGGCATCTTCTACGTGCTAGAATCACTCTTTGAAGTCCTTTGTGTCATGGTGCCCACTCCTACAAACTGAGCACACAGTCCTTCACAATTATCCATAGGAGTTATGTGAAGAACAAATAGATCCATTTGAGTGTATTTTGTGTCTAACAGTTTAAAGCTGTGTTGAGTATATGAAGCCATGTAATGAAATCATGTCACATTACCTTGTGCAGCAGGATGGAGCATCTGGAAGCAAATGAGCAAAGTCTGTACTTGGTTGAAGTGACTGTCCCTTTCTGGAGCAGGTTAAGCCTGAAAGAGAAACAGTAGGAGTCAACAGCTGCATGTCAGGCAGGCTGTGCTTACACCCAGCTTTTCTAGAGGAACTTTAGAAGCTGCACTACAACACTGGATGTGGTCTTCTGTAGCAGTTGTGTCAATGCAAAGGTGAACCTCCAGCAGAAGACAGTCAGGTGACTTAAGGAATGATAGTCATGCTCTTATTTTTTTTACATTCATGAGGAGTGAAACGGATTAATTATACCTTATTGGGAAATTATCTCAGTGCAACCCTTACTAACAAAAAATGTCAGCTCAGCAAGGTTGTCTACAGAGCAGAGACTATTTATTTTTGGTCCCCTGTGCTTTGTCCAAATACTCAGTCATTCCTCCACCAATTATAATAAAGATAGTGCCTCAAATGGATCAAAAGGTTTTCATTGAGGAAGTTGGGTTTTTTTGTTTTGTTTTGTTTTTGTTTTTGCTTTTGTTTTTGTTTTGATTTTTTGGATAAACGATATCCTGTGGAAGCCTGGGGTAGATGTTCTACAATGAAACTCTGAAGCCAGTCATCTGAATGTGAAATGACATAGCCCACCACCATGTCTGTAATAAAGAAGCAGGTTGAATCTGAAGATTTAAATGTCCTTTCCATGGTTCCAGTTCTCATTCCAGTGTCTAATCAGATCTCCAACATCTGGCTAGATGCTGCTGTGTGAGCAGCTGTTTCACATCTGGGACATTGGACAGTAACAATGAACTGAATGGGAGAAAGGCTGAACCAGGAACCCCAGCTTTATGGCAGTCTTGGTTTGAAAAGAACTTTAGGATTTACTGAAGAGTTGGGAGGAAGAAATCCCACGTACTTGGGCCAAACAATATCTCCTCCATAATGTGTGACAACATCCCAAGGAAATAATGACAAGAGAGAAGAACTAGTCAGTGCTAGTTAAAGTGCTTTTTTTTTTTTCCCCTTTCCATTTTTCCTTGCTCAGTTTCCCAGAAGATTTCGTCTTCACACAGCTGTGCAGTGGTACCAAACATGACTCAAACTGCTACTTGACTACTGTCACCATTTAGTCTTTCTCTGCAGCCTGGGTGGGCAAATACGCTTCCCATTTCTGTCTCTGTCACAAGCCAAATCCCAATTACTCAGGGAAAAATAAGCAAATGAACATGTGGTGTCATGACAACTAGTTTAGTCTGTACTGGGGAGTTGCATTAATTCCTCCATAGAACAGTCTTCTCAGGACACAACAGTATACAGCTTAAGAGTGGAGCAGAACTTGGTATCATCATCCTTGCCACCAGTATGTCAACTGCATCAGTCAGCTTGGTGTCATCTGCCAAATTGCTGAGGATGCAATTGATCCCACTACCTGGGCCATTACTATTAAATTGTACTAATATTGAACAGTTTTGGTCCCTGTATGGACTTATGAGGGTTTTCTATGGACTTTTGACTACTTCTGCAAGGGTCAATACACACTGCAAGGACACCACTCTGCCTTCTTAGTCATACCTACTGCATCTTTTGCTCTTTTCTCAGTTTTCTCCAATCCCACTCCAATAAGAACAGCCTAACAGGGAGCAACTCCTGCTGTAAATATGAGCCTTGGTTTACACAGTAATTTGTACCAAAATATTTCCTATCCAGAATTCTTAATAGCCATCGATGGTATCCTCCAAGGCAGAGAAACCCTGCATTTGGCCAGCTCTGACACCAATCAGCCAAGTGCAGAGGATTAGATTTAAATAAAACAGTTTGTTAAGGAAAAAAAAAAAAAA